ATTTTAAGCATAAAATGTATTCAAATATTTCTTTGGATATAACTTTTTTTCTGATAATGCAACCGTAAGGAGAACAAAGAGGCTTCAATCATTGTTCTTCTAGCTCTCGGCAAAAACTAGTATGTACAGAGACTTAAAAAGAGAGACCAGTAAAGTCAGAGAAGGATCCTGACCTCTAAGAATATTTTTAAAATCTCCTAATTAACATTGCCTAGAGTTAATAAGTGGCTTGTTGCATCGCCTGGATCATTTCCTTCCAGATTTGAAGTAATGTGAGTAATATGAGGCCAAGGAACTGAGAGCAATTTATTATATTTTTGTTGCACAAAACAACCTTGTGACAGTATCTTCTCGACTTCTTATAGGAGTGATAAAGAACTCCTTTGTTAACAAGGTGATTTTTCAGGCTAAAAAAGTGAAAAAGCTATCTCTAAATTAGACTACATGAATGTGATTTTTATTGTATATGTTCCTTAGTGAAAGCAGAACACTAAATTAGAAAAATGTTTATACATTGACCTAAAATCTATCACTGTGAAACTAAGTAAAATGATATTCTAATAATAATAGCTGTGGTTGTTTCAATATGCATATGCTACTTTCTGTTGCCTAGGCATTATCTCACTAAATCTTTCTGATTACCTTGTGACTTATCTTATAGGTGAGGAAATCAAGATCCAGAGTGATAAAGTATTAATATTTGCCCAAGTCCCACAGCTACTAAGTGGGAGAGTTGGGTATCAAAGCAAGATTATTGTGACTCCTGAGTTTCTCAGCCACTAAGAAATCTTGCCAATCAGCCTAGAGACACCTAGGTTGATATATTCACCAGATCAGTGCCATTACTTAGTGTCTTAATAGGCCAGGATTCCTTCTAAACCCTTGTATCCCTGTCCTGAGGATGCCCTATACTAACAATTTCACCCTGAGAACATTAACTAAAGACCAAGTTTGAGTCTGACAAAGTCTCTGGCTCATCAGAATAGTATGACATTTGCTAAGCCACTTTGCTAATGTCCGTTTTTGTGGTAGGCAATATTATGTCCCCTTCTCCAAATATGTCCATGCCCTATTACCTGGGACCTGTGACTATGCTACCTTAATGTGGTAAAAGAGACTTTGTAGATGTGATTTAAGTGAAACATCTTGAGATAGGAGAGTGGCCTCATTTATCCAGGTGTGCCTAATGTAATCACAAGAGTCCCTGTAAGAAGGAGGCAGGAAGGTCAGAGTCAGAGAAGGAGCTGTGAAGATGGAAGGACAGGCCAGAGTGATTCAGAATCATGAACCAAGAAACCTAATAAATCTCTAGACACAGGAAATGGATTCTTCCCTAGAGCCTCCAGCAAGAACATAACCCTGCTAGCACCTTGGTTTCATACCAGTGTGACCCATTGCAGATTTCTGACCTTCAGAACTATACAAGAATACACTTGTGTTAATGTATGCCACTAAATTTGTGGTAATTTGTTACAGCAGCAACAGGAAGATAATACAATTCCTTTGTTTATGAAATAGGTGTAAGACTGACCTAATAGAATTGATGCAGAGAGATAAAAGATAAGAAATTGGGTGAATTGAATGCATACAAGGGAGTTAGAGAATAAAGGTGTATCATGTGAGTTATTCCCTGAAAACCTAGGGAGTATTTATGTGAAACAGAATCCTCTCCCACCCCAGGCCTCCATGATGCCTTGGAGGTGTTTGACTAGGGAGAACTAAACCTGATTCTCCTCTCCTTCCTCATCACCACCCCTTAGGATTTTTAGAATCTGGTCTTGCTCTTCTCTCCTGCCTCACCTCTATTTGATCTCTGCCTGATTCACTTTAATTCAACTGTAATTTCTGCCCAGGAGCCTTTGTCCTTGCTGTTTATTTTTCATGGAACTCCCTGATATCATTGCAGAACTGTCTTGTCATTCAAATCTCAACTGAAATGATAGCACTTTCTGAAAGGAGTTTCCAGATCATTCAAACCAAAGCAAACCTTCACTGCTACCCTCTATCACATTTCCTGAACTTAGCTTCTCTGTTGTGCTTATCAGAACCTGGAATGTATACAAATACATTTAACATATGCCCATGTATTTAGTTTCTCTCTGACCTCTTCAGAATATAATACAGGTCAGGGCCATTGTCTTTCTCACTGCTGTAATCTCAGCAGTGAGAGTGCCTTTTAACATATATAAAAGGCATATAATCATGAACTTAATAAATTGCTTTTGACTGATGGACCAGTTGATTGAAGACAATGCTGCATTCAGATATTTTGGTAAAGTGAGTTAATAAAGTTCCTTTTTGCTTAAGCCAATTTGGGAAAGTATTTTCTGCACTTGTATTCTACCTGATTCAATGTTTTTCACCCCTGTGTCTATCCATCTGTCCATCTACATATCTATTTTATCCATCTCTATTAAAAATAAGACAGAGCAAAAAAAAAAAAAAAAAAAAGACAGAGCAAAACATAAAGGATAAAATAACATTACTTCAAAATCTCACCAGATAACTGCTTCCTTGAATATACTGTATTTCTCCAAAGAAGACATACAAAGGGTTAATAAACACATGAAAAGATGCTCAACATCACTCATTATTAGAGAAATGCAAATCAAAACCACAATCAGGTATCATCTCTTGCTTGTCAGAACAGCTGCGATCAAAAAGCTTACAAACAATAAATTCTGGAGAGGGTGTGGAGAAAAGGGAACCCTCTTATACAGTTGGTGGGAATGCAAACTGGTGAAGCCACTATGGAGAACACTGAGGCGATTCCTTAAAAACCTGGGAATAGAACTGCCATATGACCCAGCAATTCAACTGCTGGGCATACACACCAGCAGAGGAAACCAGAATTGAAACAAATACACATACCCCACTGTTCATTGCAGCACAGTTTACAATAGCTAGGACATGGAAGCAACCTAGATGTCCATTGGCAGACAAATGGATAAGGCAGTTGTGGTACATATACACAATGGAATATTGCTCAGCTATAAAAAGAATACATTTGAGCCAGTTCTAATGAGATGGATGAGCCTAGAGCTTATTATACAGAGTGAAATAAGTCAGAAAGAGAAAGACAAATACTGTCTAGTAACACATACATGTGGAATCTAGAAAGATAGTACCGATGATCCTATGCGCAGGGCAGCAAAGGAAACACAGACATACAGAACAGACTTTTGGACTCAGTGGAAGAAGGTGAGGGTGGGATGATTTGAGAGAAGAGCATTGAAACATTTATATTACCATATGTAAAATAGATGACCAGTGCAAGTTCAATGCAAAGCAAGGTACTCAAAGCCAGTTCTCTGGGACAACCCAGAGGAATGGGATGGGGAGGGAGGTGGAAGGGGGGTTCAGGATGGGGAGACATATGTGCAACTGTGGTTGATTCATGTTGATGTATGGCAAAAATTGCCAAAATATTGTAAAGTAATTCTCTCCAATTAAAATAAATTAATAAAAAAATAAATAAAAATAAAAACCATACACACACACACACACACACACACACAAAACCCCACCTCAGCTCAAGGGTCATCTCCTCCAGAAGTCTCCACTTTGAAGAGATAGTCCTTTTGTGTGCTCTTGTGGCACTGTATCCTGCAACATCACTGCCTGCATATGACATTACACACCCTGTGTGTGTGCATGCTAAGTCACTTCAGTCGTGTCTGACTCTGTGCAACCCTATGGACTGTAGGTTGCCAGGCTCCTCTGTCCATGGAATTCTCCAGACAAGACTACTTGGGTGGGTTGCCATGCACCCCCTTCAGGGGTTCTTCCCGACTTAGGGATTGAACCCATGTCTCTTGCATTGGCAGGCGGGTTCTTTATCACTAGCACCACCTGGGAAGCCCATTATATACCCTGTGCTGTGCTGTGCTGTGCTGCTGCTTAGTTTCTCAGAGATGTCCAACTCTTTGTGTCCCATGGATTGCAGCCAGCCAGGCTCCTCTGTCCATGGGGATTCTCCAGGCAAGAATACTAGAGTGGGTTGCCATATCCTCCTCCAGGGGATCTTCTCAACCCAGGGATCAAACCCAGGTCTCCTGCATTACAGGCATATTTGCCATCTGAGCCACCAGGGAAGCCCAAGAATGCTGGGAGTGGGTAGCCCATCCCTTCTCCAGGGGATCTTCTCGACCTGGGTCTCCTGCATTGCATGCAGATTCTTCACCAGCTGAGCTACCAGGGAAGTCCCATTACATAACCTAGTTATCGGTTATTTATGTGTCTGTCTCTCCCATTAGTTTCCAGCTCTTGAAAGCAGGGACTGTGCTTGTTTGAATGCTCATGCTTAACAGAAATCTTCCTGTCCTATAGAAATCCAACACGTTTTTGTTGAAGCAATGAATCATCCCTGCTACCTCTCTCTCCTTCATGCCCCGTGGCCTACCCTTCCTCAAGTCCTATCCACATCAAAATACTCCTTGAATGCATTGATTTCTCTCCATCTTTACCACTCTGCTTCAAGCCATCATCCTCCATCAGCTGGACCTATGTAACAGCCTTTCAATTGCCTAAATTACTTTAACCCCAGCAATCTAGCCCCCATACAACAGCTAGAGGGGTTTTTCTAAAATGGAGATCTCATCATGTCACTCTCTAGCCAGAAAGTCTTTAATGGTAACCATTGACAGTAGCTCAATAAAAAGCTTGAAGGCTATTCAAAATCCTAAATTTAGTAATAAAAATTCCTACAAGCTTATACCCCAGGATGATTTAACCTCTGTAACACACAAGAACTACAATAGGGCTGTAAGGTGCCTCCCTAACATTTAATAAAGTATCTAGAGCTAACCCATTTTCTCTGCCTTCTGCGCTTAATAATGTCTCAAATTTTTTTATTCAAATTTGATAGAATATTTGATGTAACAGAGAAATAAATGATTAAAAGTCTTTTCATAATATTTGTACACAGGAGCTCATGCCTCCCCATGGTGAGATTATGTTGTCAGGATATGACATAGAATGATTATGATGTCATGGCCCCCTAAAGCAAGCTGAGCCATATTAAATCCAGCAGTTTCCCTGGTAGAGGAAACCTTCAACAAGGTCCCGGACATGAATCTCTTCATTTATGTCCTCCTTTTATCAATTTGGACAAATAGTTGTTTAGATAGACAAGAAAACAATGGATCTGATACTGCAGGTATGTGCCTAACCTTAAATGCTAGAAACTATGATCTATTAATTTAAATACATTCAAGTACTTAATTAGACAAGCTAGCTATTTTTAAGAAATCTGCTGTTTCTTCTACCTTACTACGAGTAGGTCTTTGAGAATTTCTAGAACAACATCTGAGAGTTTTACTTCCATGTAAAAATTCCAAACAACATAGAAACATGAAGAGTACAGCCATACTGTCCCCCTTCATTCCCCTTCCTCACCCAATCCACCAACCCCTGTCTCCTCCCCCCGCCAGCCAAACTAGAAAATTCTATGTGAATGAATGAATCTGGCATGGTACCTAACACAAAGTGGGTTTCAAGAATGTTTTTTTTTTCTTGTCCCATCCCTATTCCCACCATACACATTCACACACACACACACACACACATAAACACTCAAGTACATTCACAAACTCAAAAACTTAGGTAATGAGTTGAACAAGCCACGATGTGGGGTAATGTAGGTAATTATACTGATTAGCTAGAGATAGCTCCCAGATTTGACTTCTAGACTGTGGCTGGCTGGGGATGTGATAGAGCAAGGAAAATGACAGGGGAACACTTATCATGCTTAAAGAAATAATTGATGATGAGATTTGACTTTGACCTATAGTAACAACCCCATCAAAATGGAAGCAGACTTGGTTACATAGCACATGTTCTGATGACATATTTTCTTTCACAGCAGCTACACCTGTTGAATCCAGGCAGAGAAGAATCGAAGCAGTACAGCACCTGCTACTCATTTTCATAATTGCTATCATCATCATCATCAGCTTTATTTTAAGATGTTATTATTTTATTCACTATGGCTGTATGAGCAAGAAAGCCTATGATGCAGAAGCGTAAGTCTTACACTTTTGAATTTAAAATAAAAGGTGGTGGGGAGTGTATGCATTCTTCACTGTAACTCTATAACTGTGAGAGCGAGGATGCCCCCAAAGGAGCAACATAAGTCTTACACCTATGAATTAAAAATACAAGGGGCCAGAGGGGAATGTGTGCATGCACATAAACATAGACGGGTTTACTGTTGTTATGGTTACTTAACGTTAACTTCAGACATCAAAAGAGCTACCAACATCTTGTGGGTTGGATATGTTCACTTAAATGAAGCTCTTAAATGATCTCAAATACATTATCAATTTGAGCCAAAACTATCTCCTATTCAGGGTTCAGTTGAGCCCCAGGTTGCTAATTTCACTGTAAATTGAGTCTAGGAAAAGAGGGGATGACTATCTAAGACAGAATCAAAATCTTTTCAGGGGAGAGAGAAGGAGTTGGGTCTCTGCATTCCAAAGATAGTAACGCATTTTGGATAATCTACTATGTTAAGATGTAATAGCATGAAACATTACTGTGTTCAGTGATACTAGTCCCTGCCTTTCATATAGGAAGATCAAACTGGCTCTGACATACTGGGTCCCTAAAAATTTCCAGTCCAAGGACTGGTGACTGAAATATATCACTGTTCTCTTCCTTTCGTTTTAGAGTAATCACTAGAGTAATCTAGTGAGTATAAACATACATGGATACAAAATTTGATGGTGTAAATATGATAGGAAAGCAATGAATTTGGTCTAAAGACTTTTTTATGTGACAAGTTGTGACATTTGTGCTTCATTTGCATATTAACTTGTGACTTTTTTTATATAAAGCTTAATTTCTGGAGTAGATAAAATTATCTCTCTCCCTCTCAATGGTAGATTAGAAACAAGTTTGTGTCACTCCACACATGACTATATGGGTATCTACTGTGGTTGAAACAGTAAAATTAAGAAAAGGAAAAAGAATTTAACACGAGTTCAAATCTGTAACCTGAGTCATGGTTTTCACCACTCTCCAATTCTTACTGTGTTCAGTTTTCCTGCTAGAGCCAAAAAAAGACCAGAAGTCTAAACTGACACTATAGCCCATGTTTTCCAGTGATAGCAAGAGTACTCTTCTGATTTAAATTGTCATACTCCAAATCTCCTGTATTTTCAAGGACAAGAAAGAAGACATCACCAAAGCAGCCACATCATCTAAAATATCATTCACTGAGTCCAAGTCACCGACTGCTGGTCCAGGCAATCTAGAAAAACAATCAGTGCTATTTAGTATAGATAAGTCATCTGGGCCCTCAACTCCACAAAAAGTCTCTGTTCCTTCAAATGTAGAAAAGTTAGTCAGGCCCTCGAGTCAACAAAACCCATCCAAGCCATCAAATCCCAAAAAAGTGTTAGGATCAGTCCCCCAGGAAAAGTTGCATAGAACACATAGTCCAAAAAAGGCACATAGGCAGTCTCATGCCCATAAGCTAGTCGGTCAGGTCAGTCCATCCTATGCAAAGAAAGCCATCAAGCCAACTTGGTCATCAAGTCTACAATGTCCAGTCAAGCCAACCAAAATGTCTCCACCCTATCCAAAGAGTCAAAGTGTCCCTGTGCAATCAAGTATACCAAAACTGACCAAACTCCAGAGATATCTTAACCTAAAAAGCCTGGCTAGTGAAGGTAGGGCAGAAATACTATCTAGGCCTCAACCAGTGAAGTTTTGTCCATACCACAAGGAAAAGTGCCTTGTTTGCTGTGCTGTTTCTGAGCCATTCACTCATATTTCAGAAGAGAATATGAAGCACGTTCCNCAGGACGATCCTTTGGAGGAGGAAATAGCAACCCACTCCAGTATTCTTGCCTGGGAAATCCCATGGAAAGAGGAGCCTGAAGGGCTACAGTCCTTGGGACTGAAAAGAGCTGGACACAGGCAACCACTTGGACGGGAACCATAATCACACACACACAAATATAGAAAGGTATTGCAAGATCAGTACCCTGGGCTCCTCTTTTCTTTTGATTAGCCCTCAATTGAAGTCTCAGCCCAATCAGCTTTTTTTTTTTTAATGTTGACATATAGTCCTCACAGTTTAAGACTGTCTTTCTGTGGTGCCCAGTGCGTGACAGAAATGGCTCTGTGTGCTTGGTTCTGGTGCATTGGGGAAATCCCTGATAGTCATTTCCTGTTTTAAAAAATATTTATTTGACCATACCAGTTCTTAGTTGTGGCATGCAAACTCTTAGTTGCATCAGGTAGGATCTAGTTCCCTGACCAGGGATAGAACCTAGGACCCCCGCTTTGGGAGTGTGGAGTTTTAGCAACTGGACCACTAGGGAAGTCCCAATATACCACTGCTTCTGGTGACTGCTACCAAAGTAAGGGTCCCGGGCTCTAGCACTGATGTTAGATGTTTTGATTATTTTTGTTATCTTTCAAAATGATAAAAAAAATTTGCCCTGTTGTGCATTCTCAGAATGCCCCAGTTAGAGGTTGGCTATCTACCCATTTTCTTCACATGATACCTTCCCACTTGGAATCAGCAGGGCTGGGAGGCCAGGGGGGAAACCTTGGAGTTATGTTTTCCAACTTCTCCACTGATGAGAGGTTATCCTTGCCTGCTTCCAAGAGCATGGTTCAGAAAAGTGGACAAAATCCTGGAGTCCCAGCCTACACTCTAGTACAGTGAGGTCAGTCCCCTGTCACATCCAGCAGGATCAGTTAAATTCCATAGCTGGCATATATTGAATGTGTACTACTTGTCTTACATTGTACTAGTCCTTTTATGTCCGGGACATCTGAGGGCCACCTTCCCCTCAATTTTGCTGATTTAGCAAAAGGATTCACAAGACTCAAAAGCAGATTATACTCATGACTGAGGTTTATTAGAGCAAAAATATACAAACCAAGACCAACAGGAAAAAGATGTCTATTTGGAGGAATCAGAGAGGTTGGACACATGCTTTTGAGTACTTGCCTTTCTGGGGCCATCTAGGACATGCTCTCTTCTCTAGCAACAAACTAGAGGGTTGCACTAGTGTGCGACATGTCTCTGCCCAGGGAAGCCTCAGCATCTGAGGCTTTTATTAAGAACAGGTATCATAGGTACATCATGTTCCATGACCAGCCATGGCAAGTGAAACTCAGGATCACAACAATGACACCAGATGCACATTATTGATGTTGATACTTGCACAAAATAATCAAGTGAACAAAACATGATCATCAACCAATTAACATTAGACCATTCCTCCAGGGTTAGCCAATAGTCAAATCACAGTTTCCAGTTCCTTTGACATACAAAGACCAAACAACCAGACCTGCTGTGTTAACACTTTCCTCACGTTTTACATGTTTTATTTAATCTCCAACAGTCCCCTATTATATAAAGTATGATAGGAGTTAACTGATGCTCTATAACATATAGTAATATCACACCGAGCAATTGATTGAATCAAGATATGAATCTATAATTGGCTTAGGTTCAAATTTTCATTATGCTGTATTGCCTTCTCACTATCAGTTTCTAGGGTATCTGTTTATTCACAGATCACCCAGTCCACTGCTGTCAGCAAAATCCCTACTTGACTTTTAATCAATCTGGACCATCCTCCTAACCTACCAGGAGCATATAAAGATGTCTTGTGTTCATTCATATCTGACTTTCCCACAGCCTCTGCCTCTACTGGTAGTATTCTGGTGGGGTCTGTAAGGTCATCATGAAATTCACAGATGGCACGAAGTAGCTGCTGATATATAAAAGTTTTAAGAGGTGAAATATACATTTATAAAGCATCATGGGAGCTACAGACTTGACTTCCTACTAGTATTACCCTTTTTGAAAAAATAAACTGTAAAGGGTTAGAACTGTTCTGGGCTAGCCTGATCTTTTTAAAAATCACAAATAGAAGCAAAAATTCTGATCAAATTTTTATGGCTTAGTATGAAAAACAATTCGAACAGAAAAGTAGAACAAGAAGTATGAATGAATGCCCATATAAACATTGCTTAGATTCAACAATTATCACTATGTGGTCAATTCTGTTTCAATTAAACTTCTATTCATTGCCCTCCCATTTATATCTCTAAAAGATAACAAATTTAAAAAAATACATAAACACAATACTATTATCTCATATAAAAATTAATAATAATTCCTTAATATAAATTATTACTTTCCTAGCATGTGAGATGAGTGCAACAGTGTGGTAGCTTGAGCATTCTTTGGCATTGCCTTTCTTTGGGATT